TATTACTATTATTATTTTAATTGCAGCAGGATGTGGCACTTCTTATTTTACTTCACAGGACCATACCTTAGCAAGTTTCTGTTGTGAGAGGTTTCCATTTTGAAATAAAGCAAAGTGATGTCCATTTGCTAATCCAAATATGAGGATTTTCCCTCTACAAAGGAAACAGGACCTGACATGGACTATGCTCTGTATGAGTGTTTAGGAATGAATAAGCCTTGTGCTCTGGCCAGAAGGCATGCTACTTCCCAAACACGCCTTGAAGTCTGTTCCCGTGCCTTTACGCATCGTGTGTCCTCTTGCCAGCAAGCCCTCCTCTCTTTTCTGCTTACTTATCATCTTGGTGAAGGCTTCGATGATAGTTCAAGCTTTGCTTCACCGCCAGCCAGCTCTCCTGCTCCCCCTGTGCGTGCCACTTACTGGTGGTCCTGATGACCTGCTCCCAAGATCTGCACTTTATCATGAAATTCACATACTCCGGCCGGTATGTCCTTGAGTCCTTTGGGTCTACCATAATATCCTGAATGTATTATACAATCAATATGTATTTGTTGTAAATTACGTTGATTTTATGGAAAAGAAATACTTTTTAAAAGAGGGACTATAGTAGAAAAGGGAAGGAGGAAATAAGAGTGGGAATATAAACCTTATTTAACTTAGACAGCCATTTAGGTTTATTACAGTATATGCATATCTGTAAGTAGAATTTTGCGTTAGTGTGTCAAAGAAATAAACTCTAGTTTTGCTAAATTCGGAGGTTGTTGTTTTCTGCTGTCAAGTTGATTCTGACTCATAGCAACCCCGTGTGGCAGAGTAGAACTGCCCCACAGGGTTTTCTGGGCTGTAATTTTTTACTGGAAAGAGCCCTCGTGGTGCAATTGTTAAGTTCTGGGCTGCTAACCGAAAGGTCGATGGTTCAAACTCACCGGTCACTCTACAGGAGAAAAGACCTAGCAATATGTTCCCGAAAAGTACAGCCATGAGGCAATTCTACAATCTTTACTGGAGCAGATCACCAGGACTTTCTCCCACGAAGCTGCTGGGTGGGTTTGAATGACCAATGTTTCACTTCACAGCTGAGTACTTAACCGTTGTGCCACCAGGGCTCCTTTTTTTGGAATGGGATAGACAGCTAGTATTTCTTTGAACTCTGTCCCTGTTTACACCTTTTACAAAAAAATAGGTAAGACTGATGTTGAATTACTTCAGAAGGAGTTGATTCAGAATTTGTAAAGAGAATTAATCCTTGAGTCTGTTTCTTTAGGGACCCTCTAGAGCATGACGACATTCATAGGGACAGAAAGTGACAACTAGAGAACAAGGGGGGGAGGAGGGCGAAAGTGAGAAGGCAAACATATGACAGTTAGCTCTAGCTTCTAGGCAAATAAAATTTCCTACTTCATAGCTGATATTTTCCTCTAAAACTTCAGCAACATTTATAGCTTTAATAGAAAAAGAGTTTTTTTTTTTTGGGGGGGGGAAGGGTAAGATATCCTGAAGCCAAAATGATGAACTGATATCTGAACAGATGCCACAATTTCACATTCTCTGCCCTAAGTTTAAAGGTGTTTACCCCTCCCTGAAAAGGCAAGGAACAAGAGGACTACTGGAAAGAAGATATTCTAATATTTCTAGACTATTTCATTTGGTGAAGAAGGTTCAGAATCATTCCTGAAGTCTTTCTCTTGAAAATGTCCCACAACCTGCCATGGTGTAGCCACCTTGTGGTCTTGCCCTCCACTGTATGACCACTGCTGAGCATGCCATTGTCCAGGTGTGCCACAGGGGCTCAGTCAATGTTTGCTAAGGGCATGAACATTCTGATGAGGAAGGGCTGCATATGACTTAGGATTATGGGAAAGCCAATAACTTTTGTGTACTTTGATAAATGCACCCAGTTGTTTATTCTGCACAATCAATTACGAGCATTTTTTTTTTTTCAAATGTGAACTTTGGTAGTGGGGTAAGGTGAGCCCACGTGTTAGAGGAGAACTGCTCCATCGGGTTTTCTTGTTGTAATCTTTAGGGAAGCAGCTCACCACCAGGCCTTTCTTCTGTGGTACTGCTGGGTGGGTTCGAACCACCAACATTTGGTAGTCAGGTGCTACCCAGGGACCTTTGGGTAAAAGTTTAGGATATTTCAATTTAGTTTACAAAACACCCAAAGAGGGATGGTGAGGTGGGAGAGGAAGAAAATTGTGGCTCACATAGTCATGAAGAGTGTTTGTTCTGACTTGCATAAGATTATTATGTATCAGGCACTTAAGAACCACATCAAAGGACAACTGCAGCCGCAGCAGCACGACCCACATCAATGACAACCCATTCCCAGTGACTCAGGATCTGCTATGTGCCTGGCAGTTGCTGAATTAGGGGTCATAGCTCAGGGAGAGACGTGGTTCTTCTCCTCATGGTGCTTACAGGACAGTGGGGAAGACAATGAAATACACAATGATGTCCAGTGTGAGAAGCATTATGATCATGTATTACAAAGGGAAGTGCTCCTCCCTAGACTCCCCAGGAAAAGTCCCTTCATGTTTGCTCCTGTGGGATTTGTTCTACCTCTAGTACCTCTAGTAGAGTATCTAAAATGTATCAGTATCTACACGTGGGAGAGGGTGAGCTTCTGACAAGCAGGGACTGTGTTTTTCACATTTTTATATCCCCAGCACCTAGCAGTGTTTTGAACATCACCAAAACAAAACAAAAATAAATAAATTGCCTTTGAGTCAATTCTGACTCATAGTGACACTACAGGACAAGGTAGAACTGCCCCATCGGGTTTCCAATGCTGTAATCTTTACGGAAGCAGATTGCTACATCCCTCTCCCACAGAGCGGCTGGTGGGTTTGAATTGCAGACCTTTCGGTTAGCAGCCGAGAGGTTTAACCACTGCACCAGTGGGTCTCTACAAATGTTTAACGACTAAATAATAACATTACAAACACTGATAACGGGGCGACAATTGGGAAGCCCATCAAAACCTGGAGAATTCAGGGATTTTGTCATATGGTGGTATTGCTCTCTGACATGTTTTATTATACCCATTCTATACACTTTTATTGGCTGCAAAAATGGACTCAAACATAACAATGATTGTGGGCATGGCTCAGGACCTGGCAGTTTCCTTCTGTAGTACATAGGGTCGCTATGAGTCGGAAACGACTCGCTGGCACCTGACAACATATATTTTTATGAGATGTAAAAGACTGTATAATATGTACATGCTTTAGATTACAGAGATACATACTTTGGGAGGGACTTTCTTCATTTAACTTTTAATAGGATTATGTTCTGGGAAGTGTTTGCGATAGGGAGTTAGAGGCAACTTAATCTCTAAAGGAAGAATTTTGCCTCTCTAAGGGGAGGAACTGCAAGCCTGAATCCTGCCACTACCAATCTAGGGAAACAAAGCCTAGAAGCTCCGAAATGTAAAGCCACTAGCTCAGCAAATGCTGTGGTGTTGCTGGAAGGTCATTAACCAGTCTAGCCATTCTCATGGCGACCCCACCTGTGTCAGAATAGAACTAACTGCTCCACAGAGTTTTTCCGGCTGTGATCTTTCAAAAGCAGATCACCAGGCCTGTGTTCCGAGGTGCCCCTGGCTGGGCTGGAACAGTCAACCTTTAGGTTAGTAGTCAAGCGCTTAACCTTTTGTGCCACCAGGTTAAGTGAGAGGCCACCTAAACCAGTACTGTATCATTTTAGACAGAGACAACCCGATCTAGCTTAAAAGATTCCTTGGAGATCCTTTAATCTTTCAGCAACTAATTCAAGAGTCAAGCAATTTACATTAATGTTTTCAGGTAATGCTCTCTTTAACGTGATCAACATTCCCTAGGAAAGTAAATAGATGGGTAAAAAAGTTCATTTACTCCTCGATGAGATAAAGATCAAACGAACACTCCTCCTGCCGGTAGAGGCCAGCCGGGAGGGCGGGGTGGGCAGGCACGGGTTGGGCCCGGGGCTGCAAGCCTCTCGCAGCTTCACCTGGTTCCGAAAAGTGTCTCCAGCTGCATTCCGGCGCACCTGGCATCCACCAGCCCTCGTTACATCCAGTTTATTCATGCGCTTCTCTGAGCCCCCCTCCCCCCGCCAGCCCCGGGGTCAGGGGCACCGCCTCGGCGGTCTAGGCGCTCCTCCCAGCCAGGCACACCTCGGGGCTCGGCCTGCTGAGACCTCGCTCGCCGTCCCTTTGGTCGCCAAACCGCCTAGTCTTCTTCTGAGGAAACCGACGAGGTCTTTTAAAGGTGGCCCCTAACGTGGCGCTCTCACAGCGTCCCGGGCAGATCGGGCCCGCGGGCTCCTCGGCCGCAGCTCTGCGATGGTTCCCGTACTCCGGAGCCGGCGGGCGCGGAGCCTCGGCGCGGGGACGCCCAGCACCAAACGGCGCATCTGCTTCGCTCCGCGGACGGTGGACTTGGGCCTGTCGGGGTCCGGCCAGGCGCTGCCGGCTTGCTGGCTGCATCGAGCAGACGGCGCGAAGCTCGGCGTGGAACTTACTCCTGCCGGGGGAGAGCGCACGTCCGGAGACACAGGCCACGGCTTACACTTGAAAGCGCAGGCTTGTCCCTGCGTCCGCAGACAGGTGAGCAGATGCCCGCCCCGCCCTCTCAGCCCGCCGGCGCAGAAGTCCGCAGCCCTTTCGCGAAAAGCGCGCTCGGGCTCCCCTCCCGGACACGCCGCTCCCCGCGCCGCGGGCCTGGGAACCGCGCGCCGGCGGCGTTCCGAGCCCAGCGGCACCGCGAGACAGACGGCGAGCTCGCCCAATCGCTAAGGGCGGGCTGAGGGGCCCGCAGGCGGTGTTGGATCTGGCGCCGCAGACGGTGGAGCCGGGAGGAGCCGAGCGGAGCGCTGAGCTGAGGCGGGGAAGCGCGTGTGAGTGCTAGACCCGGCCGGCCGCCCAAGATCCCGCAGCGCCACCGCTCGCCGCGTCCGGGCCCGAGCTCAGGCGGCGAGCATACCAGGTGTCTCCCCACCGCATCCCTGAGCCCGCAGCCCTGAGCCCTCAGCCCGCAGCCCAGCGAGGGGGAGAGTCCAGGGCCGGGGCGGGCGGCGGGTTCCGAGGCGGCGGCCCGGGTCTCTGCCGCCCAACGCGCGCAGGCTGTAGCAGGTCCCGGAGGGACGCGTCTGCCGTGGTGCGTGTGGGTTGAGAGGAGAAAGGGGCCAGCCACTGTCCTCGGCAAGGGGGCAGAGGGGCCTTTCGGGAGCTCCAGCCCGTCTCTGGGAGACAGCCTCTGCGGGCAGTGTCACCGAAGGTGAAGTGGCTGTTCTGGGGGTGACGGCGGGGTGCTGACGCGCGGCCTCCTGAGCGCCCTGGCGGGGGCCTCGGGGGCTGGGACGCAGGGCGGGCGCGGGGACTGAGTGTGTCTGCGCGACCCGAGGCGGCGGGTCGCAGATGGAAGAGGAGCCGCCCCACTCGTTCTCTCAAAGTTACGGATCGACTGAAAGGTTATTCCCGTCTTGGTGACATTAGCACTAATGAGAACCTTGCTTTGGGTGCCCGGTAACTCCTCTCTGACTAACACTCAAAACGATAAGACAAAAAGGTGCCAGACGCGGTTACCCCCCGACCAGTTGGGGTTACTTGTTTAACTTGCTGCAGGGTGTATTCTCCTTAAAGACGTGCACCCGAAGCGCGCGCTTGGGGGCCTGGCGCGTCTCCCCGGGACCCGGATTCGCCTTTGTAAGATCCTCAGTTACTGGTGTGCGCGCTTCTGAGTACGTTCTTTCTTCCAAATCCCGACGGCTCTTCCGCTTTGCTAATTTCTCCGTCTCGCTGCCTTCTCCGCTCCTGGGACAGTCTCACCATATTATTGAAGGTAGTTTTACCACGGTTTGGGAATATGACTAAGAGCACCTACAGCTTAATTTTCAGCCTTGCTGCAAACCCAAAGAATCAATTTCCGTTCATCAACTACAAGCGAGAGCCGATGTTTCTCGGGAGGAGAAACAACTTGGCATTACTCCTCTGGGAAATATTTGTCATCATTAACCTGCTTCAGTTAAGTTAATTCGGCCCAAGATGACTCCAGCGTGAGTGTTAGAAAAATCAAGTGCATTGGTCACGGAATTGTGTTTACCAAAACAAGATTTTGGCCAAATTTAAAGTGGAGACATTTGGATTTTGCTTACATTTAGGCTTGGTTTTGATAAAGATGGCTTTTTTTCTCCCCCAAACAAAGAATCTTGGTGATTCTCCTGGGTTTGCTCATTAAGTTTAAAATAGTCGCTGATTTTCCTTTTCTTTGCCTCTTTTGTCTGCAGTTTCCATTTCTAAACGTTAACACTAGGTGGCTTTCTTATGACAGGCATTTAGTAAACTGTCCTTTTGAGTTGTCTGTGTTTGCAGTTCAGGTTGTAATTTTTCCAATCTTATAATTTATAATGGGAGGAAAAAAAATTCCAAAACTGTTGCTTTACTTGAAGTATATTACTTCTCTATAAAACCGATACAAATACCTATGCACATACCAAATGGTGGCCCATCATTTCTTTCACACCTAAAGATGAATTTCAAGAGACACTTTGGCTTCTGTACTTAGTCACATACTTAAGAATGTCTGTTTCATGTTTTGCCTAATTTGAGGAATTCAAAGTTCTTCAGTGAGTTTTGTAATTCTGTTTAGAAAATCTTTCTGCTCACTGTGTTTACTGCTTGATTTAGTAGTTCACTGGTTGACTCTGAGAGGTACAAAAGAGTACGTATTCATGGGAAAGTGCAGTCTTTTCTTGAGTTTTGCGTACAAATTTCATTGACTCCTAAAGATTTCAAGATGCATTTAGGGGAAAAGAGATATGCATGGATTCATACCAAGGATTGGGTTATGGACATCTTTAGTTCCTTCTCTCCTCTTGCTTGATATTTGCTTTTTCATTTCTGAGCACAACCTCTTATGAAAAGTACTATAGCCTGTAGTTGGCCATTTCAGCACCGAGAAGTTTCCAGTCATGTTTTTAAGTACTTGTATTCTAAAGCAAGACCATAGCAGCCTGTCCAAATCTTGCCTAAGTAGGCAAACTTATTTACAAGCTATGGAAGTATCTTAAAAGTATAAGTCATTTATTGAGTGCCTTGCCCAGCTTCATATGTGACATGTTGAATTGATATGTTTGTTCTGAATTAGTGTATTCATAACTAGCTGAAGGAAAACAAACAAAACAAAAACAAACCCAACAACTACTGAGAAAGCATCTAGGAAGTAGGAAATGAAATGAAATCAGAAACAGCTTTTAATCAGTACCCACATGCTGCCTATAGAGGGGGTGAAATGAACTGGGATAAGAAGCATTGTACGCATGGGGTCCTGAAAATAAAGCAAGAGAGAAATAACAGGTATGGGGGTGGAGCTTCTGGCTTTGGAGTATAAGCCACAGATTTTCCCCTGATGGTATTAGTATATATTTTTCATCAAATACTTTTTATGTTTTTAAATATTAAGACTTTTTGAAGAGCTTTAATTTTATGGAATGTAACTTTTGGTCTAGCAGGGGAGTTATCACATTGTCGTGATTTGGCTCATATGATGCTACTTGTAGTTAAAAATGTCTAATATGAGTTTTTCTTCCCCCTCAAGACTGGAATGGTATTTTGAAGGGTTCCTTGATACCTGATCTTTGTAAACACCTGTCCACCTTGGGGATCTTTTTACATGAGGCAGAAAGGGGAATGGGTTATTCATTTTGAGAGCCTGTGTATTCCTGAAAGTGAGAAATACTCATGAGCCGCCCTGAAAGGGCAATTGTTTGGTAATTGAAGTTGGTTTAAAAGTGCTTTGTTTGGAAATCAAAACTAGTTTTTAAAAGGGTTGTGTTTACTGCATCCTTTGCAAGGAACAATGTGTTTATGTGGACATACCCACCTCTCTCCACACACAGCCGTAATTGGTAAATGCAAGGTTTTGGAGATGGAGGAAGGCATTGAGTCTTTGAACTTATCATCTACTTATGGTGGTGGTTTAGGATTACAAATCCTTTCAAAGACATACTAAATTTGAAGAAAATTCAGCCTGTTTACTGTGAACCAGAAAACAAAGTTTTTTTTTTCTGTTTTGAACTTGAATGACACGTGAAGGGCAGTCTTGAAGAATACGGGGTACTGAATTTTCTATTTCAGTTAATGTACCCAGTTCCCTTGCAGGGTGAGTAGAAAGAACATTAGTCAGGCAAGGAGGAACCTCCAGTTCCATGGGTCTACCGCCTGTTCCCTAAATAACATTTTTGAGCAGCCGGTTATTTCTGAGCTTCGCTTTCTTCATCTTAAAATAAGTGAGTTTGGCTAAAGTATTTCTGTGATCCCTTTGAGTAGCAACACTTAAGGTTTCTTTATCATTTAAAATAAGTATACAAGAGTAATGAAAATGACTGGAATCATTTATATTTTATAGATGTAAGTTTGTATATGAGTCGGAATCCACTCGACAACAGTGGGTTTGTTTTATTTTGGAAGTTTGTATGTAAACACTTGGGAGAGTTACAGCTACTTGACTTACCTTGGAAGCGATTATTCAGAAATTGCTTTTCTGTTCCAGTCACATTCAGCCGTGACCCCTTTAAAGGAGGGATAACAATGTAATAGGAACTTAAATGCTTTGCAACTTTGGAGAGAAATCGTTTTGATCCTTTCTGAACTTGATTTATAAACTTTAACTTCAAAGATTAGTAGTGGTCTAAGGGAGCCATGTCTGATGCACTGCCAAGGTTTTGTTTGTTGTTTGTTTGTTTTTTTTTTTTTTATTGTACTTTAGGTGAAGGTATACAGACCAAATAGTTTCTCGTTAAACAGTCAGTACACATACTGTTTTATGACATTGGTTAACAGCCCCACGACATGTCAACACTCTCCCTTCTCGACCTTGGAGGACCTTTTTTTTGGTGAAAATATACATAGCCAAGGCGAGGTTTTGTTTCTTGTGATATTTCATGTTTTTTTGTAATCCAATTCCTTGATAAATTTTTTCTCCCTCTACAACGCTGTATAGTCAAGTTGAGTGATAGGAAAAGAAGAAAATACACGGTAAGTTGAGTCTAGTTATCATAGCATCTCTGGGCCAGAAGGTATCTTAAGCTTATCCCTTTCTGTTCTTATACTTTTTGGAAACCAAAGCAAATTCTAGGGATTATCACTTGTCAGCTTTTAATGCTGCTACATAAGTATATTGGAGCCCTGGTGGCGCAGTGGTAAGAGCTTGGTTGCTAACCAAAAGGTTGGCAGTTTGAATCCACTAACCAGCCGCTGCTTGGAAACCTCATGGGGCAGTTCTACTCTGTCCTGTAGGGTCACTATGAGTTGGAATCGACTCGACGGCAACGAGTTTGGTTTTTTGGTTTATACCCCCACACACAGACACTTTGTCTTTTTGCATGGACCAGTGAAAACTTCAGTAAGGACCAGAGTTTGGAAATCACTGACGCAGACCAACTAATGCTTCTTTGATGCTTGGATTGTCTTTATATGATCTCTGCTAGTGGTCTTCAAGCAATACCCGAACATCTCTGTAATGGGAACCTCTACCTTTTTGATGTTTTTGATGATTGGAAAAATTTTTTGGTGTATAGAATTGATACCCAATTCTACGTATTATTATTTTGAATTCCACTCCCTTGGTAGTTTACAGTATAAATCCTTCTATAGAGGTATTTCAGTTACTCACAGAACAATATCTGTTAAAGTTGGCCCAGAACCGAATGCTTCTAGTGCAGCTTGACCAGTGTAAAGTAGAGGAGGAGTGCCCTTCCTTCAAGTTGCGTTTCCTGCTTGTTTTGATGTAGTCCACATTTGCATTCACTGTTTTGGTGGCCCCATTCCTCTGACTCAGTGAGTTTCCTGTTCACTAAAACAACTGAGCCCTTAATAGCATGCTGCCCGTAAGCCATATCTTCCCCATCCTGTACTAATGTCAGTGCAAGACCTAATGTTTATTGTGCCTGGTTTTATTTTAACTGGTTCTTCAGTGGTGTTTTGGGGAACTTCTAAGAGAAGAAAAGCAACTTTAAAAGTGCAGATTGACAGTGTAATTCTGTATCTTATCAGCCAGAACCATCCCTAGGTGCAAGGGAGGCTAGAAAATTGATTGTTTAACTTTTCCAGCTTTCGGTTGGTTGGGACAGGGTGATGAGAACAACAGTGCACAGTATC